TTTGAAAACACATCAAGCATAACATCATTCATAAAAAGATTTTGATGGATGTGAAATGTGAAAATATACGAGTTTTGATGATGAAAAGATCTCTTGCCCAATTGTCTGAAGAGTGTCACTACTGTTTTGAACGACATTTGCCCATTTAATGTCTTCACTAAGTATATAATTCAGCAACTTGATTACGCAAATAATTTGACATTGTAAATAGTATACAAGAAAGGCGAAAAAAATAACATATTTAAGTTTTTGAGGAGAGTTTTGTTTTACTCTTTAAGTTTTTTTTTACCTTGGAAACAAGAACATGAATTAAGAAAGCATGAATGGAGGTAGAGTGACGAGCAAAACATGTGTTGTAGATATCAATTTGATATATATATTCGATGACGCTACAAAATCTCCACTGTGGATTTATCTCAGACAATCTATTTCTCAATAAATTAAAAAAATTCTCGACAAAATTCTCAAATTTCAAATTTTGGCATCAGGTAATGGGTAAAGTGTTGTTCATATAAACTAGGTCCTTTTCAGTTTGGTCCGAGGTCCAGTTGAAAACCCAGTAGACCAAGTTTTTCTGTCACGCTGGCTTATGGCTTAAGTCGGATGTGGTTGGGTAAAGTGCTAGTCATGAACCCCTGTTCGATGCTGACTCAAATCACCTAGCTAGGGCTAACCCAAAAAAAACAAAAATTTGAGGTGGAGGTCTTCGAGGAGATGGTTGGTTCTGCCAATTCAAATCCTAGAAGGAACTACATGGTTCTGGAGAAGAAGCTCTCTGTCTACCATTGGACTGGAAACTTGAATTTTTTTTGTTCTTAACGTTTTCTTTGTGATCTGCTAATTCCTTTATTTGTGTTCAGTGAATAATACAATGATGCTTGATACCATGATCATAAATTGAACATTATTTGTTTCATATGATTGTATTGTGAGTTCCAGATGTTTGATTCTTTTGGGCTTGTATCTTCTTGTTAAGCCATCAAAGTTAAAATCGAACAGGACTTGGTCTTTCTTGGTTTCATGGAAGACCCAGTTTAGTACTCATTCCATGAAATCTCAAATTTAAAGGACTGTAAAATCTATCAGTGGTGGTGGCTACGTGC